CCTGTTGTGATTGTAAAGATTTTAAATAGAAATGTTTTTATAGTTCTTAGATCAGATGAAGTTGTAACTATTATGGGACTTGTGATTATGTTTAAGGGTAATTTCTAGTATCTTTAATTTTGTTAAGTACATCCACTGTTCAAATATCATCTTATGTTAGTACATGTACTGTGTTAGTATTCTCTTGTAAGCAGATTTTTTTATTGTAAATAATGTTGGTCGTCCAGCAAAAAGTAACCAAGTATCTATTTGTGAAAAAATTGTACAATGTTCATGTATTGATTTTAAAATGTGAAATAATTCATTACTGTAATTTACTGAAGTATTATTAAAAGTAATATTATTAGTTCATTGTGAATATTTTTAAGCATTAAAATTATTTAAAATTATTTCTGAATAATGATCGGGAAAAAAATTTTCAAATGTTGTAATAAGACAACGAAATTAACTTTTTCATCTTGTAATGTAAACTCATCTAACTTATTAAGTTAGAAGGCTAATGAATGTTATGAAAATCACTTTGGACTGCACGTGTTTCTTGTATCATATTCCTCATAATTAAATGAATGTATATTGGGTCTACTGGAATGACCCCATATCAAACAAGTAATGTTTACTATAATTCTGATACGTATCTTCACAAAATGTGACAAGCTTTTAGTAAACAGTACGTGTCTGTTGTACACAGAAAATCAGATGTGTTAATAAAGTTTTTGTACTAAAGATATGTTTGTGAAATGATGAAGTCAGTCTGCAAAGTGATGTTCATACAAAAAATAAGTGTACTTTTTATCCTTCGTACAGAGTACAAGTTGCGTTTGTGTAACCTTTAAAACCTATATATATATATTGTATCTAATATTTTCTTTAACTTCAACTGTTGCAAAATCAGTACTGCTGGGTCACATGAAAAGTTTACTTCTGAAACCACATCAAATGGCACTCTGTAGAAGGCCAGGAATTAATTATTATGTGGTATGTTTCACACCACATCCAGCCTCTGAACATTAAAAGTTTTTGTATTGAACAAACTTCCATGGTAGATCAACTACAGATTTGAGGTAACAGGTTTAACTTCTTCAACAAACCATTTTTTAGGTTCAGCCTCAGAACATTAAAAGTTTTTGTATTGAACAAACTTCCATGGTAGATCAACTACAGATTTGAGGTAACAGTTTTAACTTCAATAAACAATTTTTTAGGTTCAGCCTCAACATTAAAAGTTTTTGTATTGAACAAACTTCCATGGTAGATCAACTACAGATTTGAGGTAACAGTTTTAACTTCAACAAACCATTTTTTAGGTTCAGCCTCAGAACATTAAAAGTTTTTGTATTGAATAAACTTCCATGGTAGATCAACTTCAGATTTGAGGTTTAACTTCTTCAATAAACCATTTTTTAGGTTCAGCCTCAAACAGTAAAAGTTTTTGCATTGAACAAACTTCCATGGGAGATCAACTACAGATTTGAGGTGACAGGTTTAACTTCTTCAACAAACCACATGTTCAAATTAATAAGAAAATTATTAATTGTAAACACTATATGGGGAGGGAGGGAGGGGGAGTGATCTGTAATG